GCTCAGAAATGCCTTGGACGTCTAGAAAAGGACTGGGATTTCATCACAGGGCAATGTGCACCCACAGATGTACAGGCAGAACTATGCAGGGAACCAAATTACCCTCCTTTCAGAGGGGGCTTCTCACCCTGATGTTTGCAGCAAACAGAGACAAGGCTGGATTAGTGATGAAGAGTAAGAGGGCAGATACCTTGGCCAACAGCTTAGCAGCATTCTGCAGGTACTGCCAGTCAATCCACGTTCCCAGATTGTTCATAACCCTCTCTTGAATCTTCTCATGAATCTGATGGTATGTGTGTGCCTCTAGCTGCAAACTTTTGTTGTGATTTTCCCACTACAAAGCAGAGGAAGAAGGAAAAACATACAGGAGTCCCAGGAAGGTGCAGAGATCAGAGCAAACACCTGGGCTGGTAGGCCATGCCCACACAAGTCTATCTTATGGAAAGGACTGACTAAATCCATCACTCAACCACGGTAATACCAGGTCCTTTCCCATCGGCCGCAGTTGTCCTGCCCAACCAACAAGCCACATCGACAAGAGGCAACACTCAGGCAGGTGAGGAAGGAGCTCGATTCACTGACTTCCACATGCACACAGCACCCCCACAATCTCACCTCAGCGGTGACGTGGAAGAAGCCTACTCTGGGGGGAGGGGCAGGTGTGCGATAAGACACCTACCCTCTCAAAGTAGAACAAGTACTTCTTGAGGGCCTCCCTGGCCTGGGCTTGCTGGCTCTGGTTGACAATGTCGGGGTTCTCCTTGTACCGACTACACTCATAGTACTCACTGCCATGTGTCTTCCAATCTCCTAGACACATCCAGCAGAAGTCTGCACAGAACAGAGGGCGAGTCATTCACCTTCACAAGACACTCCTCTGAGGAGGAGACAGAGGAGCAGGGTGAAGGGTTAACCCGAGCAGAGACTCCCAAGGGTGACTCTTTGCAGAGGGAGGTGCAATTCTCATTCTTGTCACAACTGAATGTCCCCATAGCTTGTAAGGACAGCCAATGGCCATGAGCACCCATGCTGTGCGCCTTACTGCTGACTGTACAAAGTCATTGGTCAGCTCGGTCAACGCCATTGTGAAAAGCAAAAAACACCCACAGGAGCTCCCCCTTGTCATCGAGAACACACGCTGCCCATATAAATTACTGTCCTAATTACTTAAAATTCCTACTTATCCTAAGATTTTATATACAAAACTGGAAACAAAAGCTTCTTCCCTTTTTGGTGTGTGTCTGTATCTATGTATATGTACACACACAGAGGACAGAGGTCAATTCTGAATGTTCTTCCTCAGTTGCTACTTATTTTATTTCATCCACCTTTTTTTTTTTTTTTGAGACAAGGTCTAGAGTTCACCCAAATAGGTTAGACTAGCTGGCTAGTTTGGCTGGCCAGCAAGTCCCAGGAATACCTGTCTCTCTCCAACATGGGATTACAAGCATGTGCCGCCACACCCAGCTTGGTTACTTGGGTTCTGAGGCCTGAAGTCAGATTATCATATCTGTGTTGCAGGAGGCCATCACTTACTGAGCAATCTCTCCCACCCTTTTCAAAGTGTGCGTTAGTATAAAATCTCTACCTACTCAATAGTTCCTATGTGGAATTACAATTCTATTCTCAAAGCGAGGAAGGCAAGAAGAAAAACATCTAAAGTAGGATATGTAGGGCTAGAGAGATGGCTCAGCATCTCTCTAGTTAATAGCACTGACTGCTCTTCCACAGGACCCAGGCTTAATTTTCAGCACCCACATGGCAGCTCACAACTGTCTGTAACTCCAAGATCTGACACCCTCACACAGACAGACATACATGCAGGTAAAACACCAATGTGCATAAAAATAACTAATTAAATGCTGTGCTTATAATAAAGTATGCTATGTATTCAAATAATACCAACTGTCATCTAATGGAGAGAGGTTACCCACAATTTTGTTAGATGTCCAAGATCTAGTCTACGCTCTGTTTCTGTCAGAACCTGGGAAATAGGATTTACACTTTATCCTGGGCACTGACTTTCCAAAAGGAGTTGTTAGGACATTTTGGAGAAGGAAAAGTCAAACGCAGACAGCCACAGTTTGGTTACACTGTCCCTTCCTTCATCAGTTAGGATTGTTGCTTAAGGTTGCTCTAGTAAGTGACAGAATTATACAGCAAACTGGCTCTTGAGAGACAAGGAGACGAGGCTTCTCAGGCACTAGAAATGTGTGATAGAGTCTCTGTGCTTTTCTTCCTTTTCTTTCTGGTTTTCAAGACAGGGTTTCTCCGTGTAGCCCTGGCTGTCCTCGAACTCAGAGACCCGCCAGCCTCTGCCTCCCAGGGGCTGGGATTGAAGGTGTGCTTTACTAATCCAGGCCTCCTTCCTTTCATTTTTATGCACCAGGGTAACTGCTATGAGACCCACACTGGCCTCAACATCTGTGCTCAACCAATTCTCCTGCCCAGTTTCTCATGTAGCTGGGACTACAGGGGCACCCAACACACAACTGTTAA